GCGGCAGGGCTGATGCACATGGCTCTTGAAACCCACCAAGCCTGAGATTCCCCAAGCATGTCTGGGCTTCCAGTGCCCTGCGCACCATTGCACTTTGTTACATACCAAACTAAAATACCTTGTATATGTTTTAGTTTGCTACATAACAAGGTCATTTAAAGTGAAATACGCTGCCACATGTGTACAGTGTGACGAAATTAAAACAAAATACGCTGCTGCAGGTGTAAACAGTGATGCCATGAAAGCAGTGCAAAAGGACAATTAAGCCACTTTAAAGGCCAATTTCATCACGTGTACAAGCGCCCCTGGAAACAAAAAAGCAGGAGAGCTGCTGCATCTGTGGCTTCCTTATTCCCATAGTGGTGCAGACAGGGCATACAGGGGTCTCCTGTATTATCACAGCTCCTTTTGAGTGTATTTTTTTTCCTCCCTGCCGCCCTTCCCTCCTACAAACACACAGTTATGTGTTCACCCAGGCAATCCTATTCTGACAGGGATGAAAATAAAATCTTAAATCTAAGTAAGTGCCACTTTTGGTACTGATCAGTCCAAGTAAGTACTCATGCATAAAAATAAAAAATGATTTGGGTCTTTGTGTAATTTATGGGAAGTGTTTAAAATTGGGGGAAGAGTGAAGGGAAAGGCCATTTTTGCTCCAGAATGGGCCAGGTGAAACAAACTGATTTACAGTTGGTTGTATATTTGTATATTCCTGCAATTTATGAACTGACTACAATTCTTACACACTTATGTACACATGATGTACCTCTTTAGTAAATGGATGGAGGGAAGAGACAATACCAGGGCATTCTGGGGTAAGTACAGAAGATGGGGATCTTGTCTTTTTTGACCACACACAATTATTCATTGCAGGTAGAACAGATAAATAAATAAATGAAAGCAAAACATTGTTAGTGGGGCTTCCATGGTCTCATGGATTAATGCTTAACTGCACATTAATCTAAAGTGCTATAAAGTGTCTCATGTAGATGGACCCACTGTAATTTCACTGTTTCTGTCTGGTTTAGTGCAAAGCTAAGACTATGTGTAAGCTTCATATCAGGCCCAGGTAAGTCACAGCAGTGCCCACAGTGCTGAGCTATCTTTAAATTAGTCAGCTTGGGCACTAGTAGCAATGCAGCTCCCATGGTATGGAGCTCAGCTTCAGCTAACTTATCTGTTAGTGCATTCTTTAAATTCAGTGGCAGAGCTGTTGGGGGAGTGGAGGGCTCTGAGGCAGTACTGATGGTCAAGAGGAAGCCTCTAGCTGCAATTGTGTGGAGGCCAGGATTGGATATCAGTATAATCATGGGACAGCAAGCAGGGCACACATCCTAGGCACTAAGAGGGTACCAGGAATAGGCACTGGGATGGAGCTATAGGGGCCCTTCCCTCTCCTACCCCCACCCCTGCTGCCTCTCCCCACTCCTCCCAACACATCCCACACCTTCCATGCAGCAGCCCTGGATTGACACATATAGGAAGCCAAAACAGGAGATGACATCTCTTCCAGCAGCAGCAATCCTCTAGCTGCTTCCCTGGCACTGCGTACCACCATTGCCTGGGGCACAGTAGTGGCCATCTATGCCTCTGAATCGGGGTATGTGGGAGAGGTCTCAAGGGCTGGATTGAGGGGAATGAGCAGTGTTCAGTGTCTCAAGTGGCTCTGAGGAATGAACAGCTGCCTGTGATGCAACACTGAGGTGAATCGGCAGAACTAGGAGTTTGTTAAGGAAGGCCTGGGATACCAGCTGGGTGGCAGGCCAGCATGGATGGGGTACTCAGGAGGAAAGCTTGCCCCTGCTGTCCGGTCTGTATCTGCCTTCACCAACTCTACCATTATGTGCATCAGTCGCACTGGGAATGCTGTCATATTTTCCAAAAACAGGGACAACATGGACAAAACACCACACAGCTGACTGGGGAGGTACTGCCATTTATTATTCATTTCCTTGCAGCGTATGGATGGCCCCATAGCTCTGGGAGTACAGATGCTAGTAGCAAGCTTGTCAAAAGTTGTTCTTGGTCTAGGGGAGTAAAAGAAAAACAGAGTGTAGTGTGGGTGGGGGGAGAGTGGGAGAGAC